TAAAATCCATGTCCTTTCCATTGCACAACATTAACTCTTCATTAATTTTAAACATATCTTTAAAATCAACCTTTATGGACAGAGTTTATTTACGTGTCAAGGACAAACTCCACTAAAATAATATGCTCAATAAGAAAAGATTTTAGTGTCCACCAGTTTGCTGACTGTATCCTTGACTTCCTTATTTCTCAGACTGTAGATCAGAGGATTCCACATGGGGATCATCACTGTGTAAAACACAGAGGCCACTTTGTGTGCCTGGTGTTTTGGGAGTTGGACACACAGTAGAGGAAGAGGATGGTGCTGTGGAAGATGGTGATGGCGTTCAGGTGGGAGGCACAGGTGGAAAAGGCTTTGCAGTGCCCACTGGCTGAATGCATCTTGAGGATGATAAATACATGAGGCATGAGAATGATACGCAGTGTGCTGACCTATTAAAAGTGGCAAAAGTGAAAAGCAGCCACTGGTTGACATAAGTATCAGAGCAAGAGAGGGACAGCAATGAGAACTCACAGAAGTGATTGATTGTGTTGAAGCCCAAAAATGATAATTTTATAGCAAAACATGTGAGTATCAAGGAAATGTTATTCCCCACACATATGATCTGACAACTAGCATGACACAGAGTTTCTGGGATGTGGCAATTGTGTAGAGCAGAGGGTTGCAAATGGCCACAAACAGGTCATAGAGCATCACAGCTAATAAAAAGGATTAAGTTATGACAAAGACACAAAAGAAAAAGAACTGTGCTACACATCCTATAAATGAAATGGTTCTGTCTTCTACAACTAGGTTCACCAGGGTCTTGGGAGCAATGATGGAGGAACAGCAGAAATCCACAGAGAGGTGGCTGAGGAAAAAGTACATGGGGGCGTGTAGTTTGGGGTTAATTTTGATTATTACAATCATCCCAATGTTCCCTACAACAGTGACACTGTAGGTGGCCAGAAAAATCAAGAAGAGGGGGATTTTCAGTTCTGGGTGTCTGAGAAGCCCAACAAAGTGAACATGGGCCCATTTTTATTTCTCTGACAGTAACATGGCCTCTGTTTGTTCAAATCTGAATCAATCCTGAAAACAAAATTATTAAGGAGAGTGAGGATATAAGAAGCTTGGTTAACTATCCTTTACCAAAACTGGAAGACGAAGCAAAATATCTCTTTCAGAATTTCTCCATGTATTTTTATGCAAGATATGATAAATGTTAGACTACTAAAATATGATAAGTATTTTTAAATTTTAAGCAAAAACAATACAAATATTGAATTAATATTTTTAGTTCTCAACTGTAATTTTAATATTTACAAATAAATATACGAGATCAAGGGATTTATGGTTATTTTAAATAAAATCCTCCCCTAACACTTTCAGCTGTCCATGAATATTTTAAGTTCATAAAAAATAAGCCTAATATGATAACTGATTATGCCAGCCTATAAACAGTGAAAAATATGAGAATTTTTTTCTTTTTTTGTTGCAGTAACATTGGATTATAACATTATAGAGCTTTCAGATGTACATCGTAATATATTTCGAATTCTGTGTAGATTACATCATGTTCACCATGCAAAAACTAATAAATTTTGGGTGTACATCATTATATTTTGATTTCTGTGTAGATTACATTATGTTCGACGCCTAAAGACTAGTTACAATCCATCACCACACACATGTGAACCTAATCACCCCTTTTGCCCTCGCCCCTCCCCCCTTCCCCTGTGGTAACCACCAATCCAATCTCTGTTGCTATGTGTTTGTTTGTCATTGTTTTTATCTTCTACTTATGTGTGAGATCATATGGTATTTGACTTTCTCCCTCTGCCTTGTTTCACTTATCATAATACCCTCAAGGTCAGTTAAAGCTCAGATTCCGTTATTGTCTATGGAAATGAAAATATGTTGATGCAGTCAAAAAGAATTTGAAGCAAAATTAAGAACTGGTAGTGGATGGCTATGAATAATGTTGGAGCAGGGGAAGACAAGGAAAATTTAGGGTGCCAGTCTTTCCACCTTAAATAATTAGAGAGCATTATACAAGATAGCTGTGGGATTTTTTCCAATAAAGATGATGGAATAATACTAAGCTCAGTTTTCCACGTAAAAATGCCCAAAATTCAGGCTTGCTTCACAAAGAAATAATAAGTGAGGCACATAGATATTTTACTTGGAAATTCAGTACTGTAGTATTTCAAAGGGACACATGAGTACAAGGTTGTTACTCAAAATATAAATTGTAACATTCATTTTAGAAAATTTACACCACAGAAAAGGGAACAGACAAGTTTTACAAATAATTTTCTTAATCAGGAACAGTTGATAAAAATATGTATAAATTATTGTTAAGATTAGAAAACAGCTGTAAGTAAATGTTACCCTCCTTATAAATATTTCTAGTCTCCTTCTGTGAAATTTCTTCAAATACTCTTCTAGTTTTATTATAAAGTAAAACTAAATATTATTTTACTTTCACTCTGAATTTTTCTAGAAGGGGATTTTTGCACACTCACATTTTCATTTTCTTTGATGCCATTTTACTTTATTTTATGAAGACCTCCAGCAGCATAGACTCTAAGATCCCATGATAATCTGCTTTAATGCAGCCTGTCTAAAAGAAGTGTGATACTTATTATGATTAGCGAGTTTGTCCCTTTCCAGTGAAATCACCTTTATTGTACTTTTTGAAAGTAAGATCTAATAATTTACAAAAATAAGACATTAGTATGAAAATGAGTGAGTGACATAGTGGAGCTTCTTTTGTGTGCCTTTAAATTGCAGTAGGAGTGAGTGACCCTCTCTTTCCTGTATAAACTACGCAAAACCACACACAGCTCCTCATTTGGCCAGAAAAGAAAAGGAACTAATAAACTAAATGCATAAGTGGAATGACAAAGGGAAGAAAACTTAGATATACATTTTCTCAAGGAATGGATTTTGGAAATATTACTGATATTTGTAGGATAAGGAAATCTGTCTTCGCTCATAAAGAGTTTATGAGCATGCCACCCCAAAATATGCCACTTTGGCATATTGGTTATTTTGAGCTGAAGACACTCAAGAAAGAGCAGATGCAGGAAGGAATCCCTGACTTTCCCTTCTGTTCCTAAAATCAGGTAGTAATATTTCCCATGAGGAAGGTGCCCTGCCTGTGCTGGGAAGAAAAGGACATTCGTATCACTGGAGACCCAGCACTGATGCTGAAGTGAACCTTACAACAAAACCTACTAAAATAACTAACCTTCCTTTACTTTCCTCTGTATATTTCCTAGTGAATGTCCCAAATTTACTGCCCCAACCTAAGCCCGCTTGTCTTGGCACGTCCCCATAATTTTTCATTCTTTGTTTAAAAATATCTACAAGGTTTTGGGCCTAACAGCTTTTTTGGGTCCCCATTTTTCTTTTGAAGATTCCTATATGCACATAAAAATACTGAATAAAGTCTATATGCTTTTCTCCTGTTAATCTTGTTATGTCACTTTAATACTTAGACTCACCCGCAGAACCTAAGTGGGTAGAAGGATTTTTCACTCGCCTCCAGTGGGATGGCGTACAGATTTAGCCATGTGCTGATACAGAATGTTTCACTATTATTGTGAGAGTTTGTATCTAGCTTTTGACATTCTGGTAGAAAAGGAAGAGTCAGTAAAATGTTTATGTATGGCGTAAGTTTTATATTTACATATAAATGTAATTTTGACAGGAGTTTCCATAAATATGTACTGCTTTAAAATGAAAACTAATCAGACATTCAGAAAAAGATATTATAATTTTAAACTATACCAGACAATGACAGGTCATAATTTAAACTAAGAAAAATTTCAAATATTGGCATGTGCAACAGACTCTTGATTTTCTTTTAATAGTTTGTCATTAAAAATAGACTCTTTAAAATCTTGACTGGCTGAAATAGTACTTCTCATGACTTAATCTGAACACCGATCAACTGAGGATCCTGGAGCAATGCCCATTCTCGTTCTAACCTCCTCCCAGATCATTCTGATGCTGCTGGTCCACCAACCATACTTTGAATAGGGAGATTTTAGGAGAGAACACTCCTCCTGAGAAGCTTTGATGAAAGTCACTTCTTCCATCACCCTTGCCATCCCCACAGATTTTTAACTGTCCTGAAGTAACTGAAAATTGTAAAACATCTTCATTCCCATAGCGGGTCATACATAATAATGGAAAAGTTGTCCATCCCTTTTCTTCTCTCACTCTGAATTGAATTTGTTTATGCTGAAATAATTGCCTATTTGAATATTACATAAGGATCTAAGAGAGTTGATATATGTTTTTCCATGTTAGCCCATTTTTATACTGTCCAGTTCTGTTTTCCTTTTTTCCTCCCTTCCAATTACTAACCTTGTTACAGATGCTAATGTTTTGAAATCCATTTATATTATTCAGGAAAATCTTAATTATTTAATATGTTCCTACTATTACCTAACACAGTTTTCTAACTATGTCTATATTTTGCGTCAATGCTTAAGAAGAGTACTGACTCATCGTATGTGTTTAATAAATGATTTTTAATCATTTTTAAATCATTTTAATCACAGAGTGCTAAGTTTATATCAGTCTATCTACCAGATGGAATTTTAATACTTCTTCATTTAACTGAGACAATTTTTGGCCAATGGTTACTTAGGGTATAAATTGTGAAAACATTCAACTGGAATATTCTATTCTATAATAATTGTTATATGAGTAATTATATGAATAACATATAAATATTATATGAGACTAAAACAACCTATTTTCCTATTGTGAATGCCTTGCGGACAAGGACCTTTATTTATCTCTCTATCACTATGGCATTAATCTAAAGCATTCTTAAATACAGCAATTATAGGGTAACTATTTCAATAGTGTTCAAAACAAAATGTAAAGTGAAGGAAATGTCCATAATAGGTGGTATCAATTTCACAAAATGTTTTTCAATACTTACCATTTTCAAATGTGGTTGGGGAATCCATCTAAAATTGTTCATTTTTGTTAATCTCTCAAATCGCCCGCATGTTTCTGGTCAACAGCCATCTCTTTTGTGCTAGAACCTTCCTAAATGCTTTCTTCACATCTTTGTTTCTCAGGGTGTATATGAGAGGGTTCACCAGTGGGGTGACCACACAGTAGAACACTGAGACCACTTTACCAATGGTGAAGTTGTACTTGGCTGGAGGACGGACATAGGCAAAGATAATGGTGCCGTAATAGATGGTGACCACAGTGAGGTGGGAGGTGCAGGTGGAGAAAGTTTTCTTCCAAGCCTCCCGGGAAGACAGTCTCGTTATTGTGACCACAACGTGGACGTAGGACGACATGGTGAGAAGGAAAGAACTTAGAATCACGATAGAGCTACATGTGTAGCTCAAGGACTCTGCCAGATATGTATCTGAGCAGGAGAGTTTATAAATGGGATCTGAGTCACAAAAGAAATGGTTGATCTTCTGAGGGCCACAAAAGTTTTGATGAGAAATGACTATGGTAGATAAGATAGGGGCAATGAAGCCCCCAATCCAAGATCCAGCTGAAAACCACAGGCACACTCGAATACTCATGAGGAGTGAGCAGTGTAGAGGACTGCAAATGGCCAGGTACCAGTCATAGGCCATCACTGCCAGCAGAATGCACTCTGTAGCTCCCATAGAGAAAAAGAAGTAGTACTAAGTTATGCAACCAGCAACAGAGATGGTGACAACCTGTGAGAGGCAGGTGGCCAACAAGTTAGGCACTGTGACTGTGGTGTGCCAGAGCTCCAGGAAGGACAAATTTCCTAAGAAAATGCACATGGGCGTTTGGAGTGTGGAATCCATCACAACAATGAAAATGATGGGGGTGTTTCCCATGAGGGAGAGCAGATAGACAGCGAGAAACATCACAAACAAAGTGAGGCGCAGAGAGAGAACACCAGAAAACCCAGGAAAAATGAACTCTGTCACCGTTGTTCGGTTTATTGCATCCATATCTCATCTTCTCTGATCTGGAATGAACCAATGACGCCCAGTATACAGTAGATGAGCAAGAATAGAATTCACATCCTAGACATGAGAGGATTGTAAATGTATCTACAGGCAGTGCAGATCAGAGGCGAGTAGATCATGGGGGAGGATGGGGTGCCACCCAGAATGGAGATTCCAGGCCATGCTAGTTGCCGTGTCAAGATAATGTGCTGCCTTCAATTTTATCCCCCAGATCTCTGATTTACTCCGTCAGTTAGGGTTTGGTGAGAGATTGGTACTGAGTACTGGATAGAGTACTGGTACCCTATCTCCAGAAAACAAACAGAATAGGATTCAAAATTTATATGGAAGATATTTTTAATAAATATTTTTAACATTCCTAATCTTTGATTTGTATGTTTTTAGACTTATTGCATCCACCTGTTTTCCTGCATTTGTTAGTAGTAGTCAAATAAATAAATCTTTAGAAGTGTCAGAAATTTATTTGTCTACCAATGGACAGTAATGTCATTTTCATGTCTTACTTGTTGTATAAGAATAAAACATGAGATCTACCCACTTTCCAAATCTTTAAATGTGCAATGCAGTATTGCTAACTATGGTTATGTTGTGTTCCTACCACAATAAAAGTCAAAAATCTCATCTTTAAAGAAAGAAAGATAGATTTCCAATGAACATATTCATGTATACACATGCTTTAGTGCCAAAGTAGCTAGAGGATAAAGTATAGCAGAAAAAAACTTCTTACTACACATACTAAAAAACTTTCTTGTATACATAAAATACATACTTTTTTACTATTTTTCAAAATTCCCTGCAGTAAAGACTTGATATTTCCTATATTACAATGAAAAAATAAGTTTAGTGAAATGTGGAGGTAACCGAGTCCATGTCCATGGATTTCTGTGTTAAGCCCTTATGGAGTTTTTGAACCATAAAACTCTATTAAAAAATATATATATGTTTTATGTCACAACATTAATGGTCCGCATAGTGCACTGTTGATACAGTAGAGAATTTTCCAAGATACATATCATAGAAATTATCGGTTACATATGGAAAAAGAGTCAAGTTAGTATTGTCAGGAGACATTTATTTGTCCCACTACATCAAACTGTAGGTAGAAATCCCCTAAAAAGACCAGGGTCAGTTTCTTGCCATTTTACTCTGAATAACAAAAATATATTGTACTTTCTGCAGGGTATATAACTATTCAAAATATTTTGAAAAATATTATGATTAGCAACTACATAGAATTTATAACAAGAAAATGGTTCAGCTGAAAGTATTTGGAATAATTTTTAATATATTTTATGATTTTAATTTTTCTGGTTCCATTAGAAAAATATTGCCGTTTATTTTACTAATTTACTACCAAGGGTCTAAGGTATCTATATTGCTATAATAAAAACAATATTGCACGGCTAATTTTCTCTTCATATTAGTAGGAAAAAATAACAATTTGAAAAGAATAACAGTAGAACTTTGGCAACAGAATCAAACCAACATCATCTCAAGGAGAAAATCTTCTTTCTTTTCCTAAAATATATCACAGCTGTCTAATTCTGCCTTTAGCAAAAATGAAGTTCTACACTCTTCAGCTGGGAGGGAACTGGAAGTTAGAGAAAATTAATTTTAAATTAATTAATACTTTTATAAAACTAAAACAACATTTAAATACAAAAAGAACTTACATGTGATTTTTATATATTTATTGTTTTCAATTTATAAGCCGTTATTACTCCTCTTAGATGCCAAAGAAATGCCAGAAGAAGTATATTTCCTCTGATTACAAAAACACCCCAAATTATAAAAGTACTGTTATATAACTTCACTACTTTCCAGACAGTGATAAATAACATGGATTATATCCCCCTAGATATACTCACAGCCTATATTCTGTTTGGTTATTTCTTAGTAATGGAATACTGGTAGTTAAATTTTCTTTAAACTGACCTTTTCAAAATATCATGCATTGGAGCATCCTGCATGCAATTGGATCACAAAAGAAATAAGCTAAAAATTCTCCTCACTGCTATGTCGTTGGCTGTCCTACGCCATGTATGCTACAGATAGCACCAAATCCCCTGGGTTTGTTTGTTTTTTACCTCACTTTTTCCCCCCTGTTTGCAGGATGCCAGGAAAGACATGGTCTGAAATCCCTTTTGTGGGAATTACTGTGATTTCATCAGTCTGGAGCCTTGGAGATCTGCCCTCTAACTTGGGACATCCACAAAGATTCTCTGAGGATGTTTCTTTGGTGAGAATTAAAGTACTCTCCCCTTGGGACTAGAAGAAGAACAAAGTGTGGGAAGCAGCAGAAATGTCTACACAGGGACAAAAAGAATAGCCTTAGAAGTGGCTGCATTAGCTACCACTGCCCATGGTATTCCCATTTCATTTATGATCACAGAATTGCATCCCTCAGTATTTCAGCCACTACAAGCATGGTCAGAATATCATATTCTCCAGCATACAAAGTACACACTATATCAGCATTTAAAAGCCTTCCTTTATAATAATAGAGCGACAAAACAAGCAAAACAAAAAACAACACAGGCATAAAATCTCTTTACAGCAAATAACTCAAAAGACATTTAGAAGTGTGTTTGCAAAACAAGGTAGCAGATACTGAGATTGAGTCATTTCAGGAGCGTAGTGAATATGTGCAGAGGGCACGAAAGGCTGACAAACCTTGGGGGAAAAGAAGAAGAGAATGACAATCTAGGTGACCGAATAAAGTAACTCTAGATGACTTCCACAAATGTGTGGTGAAAAGAGAAATTTGAATATAAATTTGAGCTTGTTCACATTAGTGAAGGAAAATAATGTTTTGTTCAACATATTGTTTGTGAAAATTAGCCTATGTGTAAAAGAAAATTTTAAAAAACCTCAATCCTTGTACGTAAATGCCAAGTGGATCAAACATTTACACAAAAAAGAAAGGAATTGTAAAACAGTGATAATCATTAAGAAAGGGAAGGGACCAGGAGATAACCTGAAAATTTGTGGAGGCAGTTTGTTTGAGGGAACATGGGATGTTGGTGGCACGTATTGACATGAGCATGAAGAACGCTATTATCTGGGGGTGTCAAATCCCCACACAAGGCATTAATAGTGGTCCCACTGAGAATCATTGTCTTAAAGGCAATAGAAAATAATTTTTAAAATAAATTGTTATAAAATTTTATTTTATTGACGTCACATTGGTTTACATCATGATGTAAGTCTCAGGTGTACATCAATATTTACCCAAAGAACATGAAAACACAAATTTGAAAATATGTATGAGCTGCTATGTTCATTGCAGCATTATTCACAATAGCCAAGACTTGGAAGTAACCTAAAATAAACTTTTTGAGCTATAATTGACATATAAAATACACCCATTAAAAACATAGAGTTCAGTTGAATAATTTTTTAAGGAAAAAATTTATTCAACTAAAAAAATTTGCATTAATAAGAAATATGAATAGAATTGATGAAAAAATATAGAGTTCAATAAGTTTTGACAAATGTATACACACAGGTAACTACAACCACAATCAAGAAATAAAGCACTCTGGATCTACTCCAGAAAGTTTCCTCATGCCCCATGCACTCAATTCGTTTCTTACCTTAGACCCAAGCAACCACTGCTCTCCTTTTGTCACTATAGCTTATCTTTGCTTTTTTTTAGATGTTGATATATACAGACTCATAGGGTGTATATCCTTTCATGTCAGACTTCTTTCATCTACTGTCTTGGGAGAAGAATGGATGAACACAGTGAGAACATAAACAAAGAACTGGAAAATATAAAAAAGAACCAATCAGAAGTGAAGAATACAATACTGGAAATGAAAAATTCACTAGAAGGACTCAATAGCAGAGTAGATGATACAGAAGAATGGATCAGTAGGAAATCACCCAAGCTGAACAGATAAAAGAAAAGAATTAGAAAGAATGAAGACAGTCTACAGGACTTCTGGGACAATATCAAGCTCACTAACATCTGTGTTATAGGTGTCCCAGAAAGAGAAGAGAGAGACAAAGGGGCAGAGAACCTATTTGAAGAAATAATAGCTGAAAACTTCCCTAACCTGAGAAAGGAAACAGACACCCACATACAGGAAACACAGAGAACACCAAACAAGGTAAAGCCAAAGAGGCCCACAGCAAGACACATTATAATTAAAATGTCAACAATTAAAGATAAAGAGAGAATCCTAAAAGCTTCAAGAGAAAGGCAACAAGTTACAAATAAAGGAAATCTCATAAGGTTATCAGCTGACTTCTCATCAGAAACCTTACAGGCTAGAAGGGAGTAGCACGATATATTTAAAGTGCAGAAAGGAAAAAATCTACAGCCAAGAATACTCTAGCCAGCAAAGTTATCATTCAGAAGGGAAGGAGACATAGTTTCCCGGACAAGGAAAATCAAAAGGAGTTTATCACCAAGAAGCCAGTTTTACAAGAAATGCTAAAGGAATTCATTTAAGAGGAAAAGAGATCACAAATAGGAATAAGAAAATCATTTTAAAAAAAGCAATAAAATCTCTGGTAAAGGCCAATAAACAATAAAAGGAGCAGATAAACCACCTATGAAGGTCAAAAGAAAAAGTACTAAAAAAAGATCTATTTCCATAAGTGGGTAGTGGATAGACATGCAAAAGAAAGAGGTTGTCTATGATATAAAAAACACAAAATATGGGAAGAGAAGAGTAAAAGAGTAGAGCTTTTAGCAAGAGGTCGAAGTAAAGAGACCATCAAGTAAGTGGAATGGTAAAGTCCTTACTGTTGTGTTCCTGTCTATTTCCTCTTTTGTGTCTCTTAGTAATTGCTTTATATATTTATGAGCTCCTACATTGGGTACACAAATATTTACAAATGATATATCCTTTTGTTGGATTGTCCCCTTAATCATTATGTAGTGTACCTCTTTGTCTCCTGTTACAGATTCTGTTTTAAAATCTCTGTGTCTGATATAAGTATTGCAATTCCAGCTTTCTTTTCATTTCAGTTTGCATGGAGTATCTTTTCCATCCCTTCACTTTCAGTTCATGAATGCCTTTAAGTCTGAAGCATGTCTCCTGCGTGAAGCATATCTATTTGTCTTTCTTTTTTGTCCATTCAGCTATCCTATGTCTTTTGATTGGAGGATCTAGTCCATTGACACTTAAATTAGCTATTGACAAAGTATGTACGTATTGCCGTTTTATTACTTTTTTTCTGAGTGCTTTAGTAGTTCTCTGTTCATTTCTTCTTCTCTTGCTCTCTTCCCTTATGATTTGATGGCTTTGTTTAGTAATTAACCAAAGTTTTATAAAGAAAAGACTTAAAGATGGTGGTGATTTGTGTTGAAAGTATGTAACTCCTAATTTATTTGTTAAAAGCATCATGAAGCCAAAGGTTATGGTACTCATAGTTTTATACCAAAGGGACACACATCTTTCCCCTGTGGAAGAGGTGGATAGAAATTTTCTATTGATATCAGGAAGAGTTCACTGCAACAACTCAATACTTTTGAGGCCCAAAGGACCTAGTCAAAACAGATTCATTAGTCTCAGATTTGGAGACATCATTAACTAAAGATTGGGATAAGACACAATGTCCTCTGGAAGACAAGGAAATCCATGGTTTCTAATCTGGTCTCTTGGGAAGAAAGAATCAGCAGGAATAATTTCTTCTGTATCCAAACCAGTGTCCCACATGGAAATGATCTGCTCACAGGTGTGAGTGACAATGGAGAAGGTGCTTAATTAGCCTACATAGGGAGCTGTAAATATCACTTCTGCTTCAGGCCTCCTATGTGCGCAACATTGAGCTGGATCGACATGGTTGCTGCTTTTGGAATCCTAAGTCTCACTAGGCAACTGATATTTCATTACTTCTTGCTGTTCCTTCTGGGAACAGAGCTTAAGTCTCTTTCATCAAACATCCAGGAAGGAATTTACAGATCTTCCTCTCAGAGACCTCATCCAGGTGAGAGCTCAGTAGGTACTTCTCGAAAGATTCAGAGACAAAGGGAGAGAACATTTACCTTAGGTCAGCTGAAAGCCAAAGCAACCTAGGCCAGAGCTGAATGATTGTCATGTTATTTTCTATGTAGATTAAATAATTTATAATTAATTTATTTAATATGTTAAAAAGAGAAATGTCATTTGGTCTCAGAAATAGAAGGGTTATTGTTATAAATCAGTGATGGGAAAGGGCATCCAGTTGGATGAGAACAAAAAAAGGAATGGTGGTTCCGGTAAAATTAGAACCTGTCAGAGGACTTTTGCTCCTAAGGCATTGTAAAATAGACAATTAGGTTTGGAAAACTGTGCAATGAACTGAGGGAAATTTTTTAAAGTGCACAAGATGGGGTGTATTTGACCATGTTCTGTATTTGTTATGAATCTCATACCAAAGAAATAGATATTACATTGCAACAGCAGTTCTTGAGACATGCATTTCACAGTATTCTCTGACATGCTGGGGATTTACATAAAAAATGTACTTAATATGCAAAAAGTTATGCTAATCAGATTTACTTTAAAATTAGTTAATTACTTAAAAGTCGGTAAGTAACAGACATTGCAGAGGTAGAAGAAAAAATTTATCTTCAGCTGCTCACTAGTGATATTCCTTCATTAACTAACAATCATTAACTTTGCTAAGCATTTCACATGTATTGACTAAATCTGTTGACAATTTCCAGGCAATGGATACCACTATCCCTACTTTTTGAGTGAGAATATTAACATTCAGAATGGTTCAAGTACTCTCCATGGACAAACAGCTAATATGTGGTAGATCCAAAAGTCAAATCTCCATTTTATGATTCCAATGTTTTGCATTTAATGTCATTTACAAAGTGTTTTTACCATTTAATCTTTAAAAATCTCCCACTATCATTGCACATTGTATATTTTCTGTTGTAAATTAAGGGTTTATTCCTTTTCCTCATTTTTATAGCAGGATGCACAAAGCGTCTTAATGTTGTAAGGTATCTTTCCTTTTTCCTAAGAATAAATTGTGTTTTTTTCTGCTATGTTAATTATTCTGGGCTTCAAAGGAATATACGTGTGGTTGGAATGCTGCCAGAACCAAGGAAGGTTTCTCCTCATCACAACCTCTCAGGGACCACCTGAGCATTTTAGGTCCTTTATCCCACTCATATCTAAATGATCCTCTCTCTGTTTTGGAAGTGCTTTTTGTGTTTCTTTAAATACAGGGCACAAAATAGTCATATGAATATGGAGGCTAATACATGAATACATAAATACATATTCATTTGAGGCTTACTAACTGGAATTTGGGTACTATTTCTACATTCTTTAGGGTAAAAATAACCTAATGTTGACAGCTTCCTTGTATCATTTATTTCCTAATTATTGTGGCTGGAGTGAGAAGAACCTGCTAGTCTCATGTCTCCAGGAGGTCATTGTGCACTGCGTGTGTGTGCCTGTGTATTTTGTGGGACAAGAGCAGTACTTAGGGCAGTGGTATCTAGCCCATATGCTCCAAAATGTGACTCTAAGATAACAGATGCCAGAATGTTAGCCAGCAGACAGAAATGAAGGGATTATTTCTATTCAGAGGATTCCTTAGAAACAAAATCAATGAAGTGCAAGGAACAATGTAAATGAGTGACTCCCTGTGTCTTGAAGCTTCAGGTGCAGCTAGAAGGCCATCTCATTTCTCAACATCCTCGGACACTGTCTCTCATCCCTCTCCTTCTGCTCATTCCCCTCACCACTCTGGCTCCATTTTGAATGTTGAATACCTGAGACAAGAGTATTGCTCCTATCTCAGGGTCTTTTCTCTGCCTCTTTCTTCTACAAGGCAAACACTTTCCAAAACACCCTTGTGTCTCCCACTTTGTCTTCCTTTTACACAGGTTTTCATGAATTACCAGGGAAAACTACCAGCTCTACTGACTCTTTATTATCTGTACTTGTTTTTCTTCATAGCATCTGTCACCATGTGACATGATATATAATATTTATTTGCTTATATTCTTTCACCATCACTATATTTTTGGGCTTTTGTTTCTCAGAATCCTATCATTTTTGCCTAGAAGATGGTCAGTACTCAACATATATTCTTCAAATCATCAAAGAATTTCTACTTAAAATTGTGTAATATATGGCCTCTTGGGGAAAAATCTGAGTGAGACAGGAATTTCTGGTCAGAAATGTCAGGGGAGATCCCTTAAAATCTATTAGATCCATACAAAGAATATGTATTGATTTCTTAACTGTAATATACAAGTTGTAACATTTGAACTGTGTTAGCAATGACTATTTGTGTGAAAATTAGTCATGTCATTTTTTCATTCCTAGTCTTAACCACTACTACATGGTACCAGGCAATGGTACACAAAATTCAGAATTTCTTCTTCTGGGATTATCAAAGGAACAAGAACTGGAGCCCCTCATATTTGGGCTTTTCATCTTCATGTACCTTGCAACTATATTGGGAAACCTGCTCATCATCCTGGCCACTGTCTCAGACTCCCACCTCCACACACCCATGTACTTCTTCCTCTCCAATTTGTCCTTTGTAGACATCTGTTTCACCTCCACCACCATCCCAAAGATGCTAGTGAATATACAGACGCAGAGCAAAGTGATAACTTACAAAGGCTGCATCAGCCAGATGTATTTTTACATACTTTTTGCAGTGTTGGATGATTTCCATCTGGCTGTAATGGCCTATGACCGTTTCTTGGCCATCTGTCACCCCTTGTCCTACACAGTCATGATGAGCCCCCAGCTCTGTAAACTTCTAGTTCTGATATCCTGGCTCATAAGTGCCCTGCATTCCTTGTTAGAAAGCTTAATGGTGTTGCGACTGTCCTTCTGCACTGACTTGGAAATCCCCCACTTTTTCTGTGAAATCAAACAGGTGATCCGACTTGCCTGTTCTGACTATTCTCTCAGTGACACGGTTATGTATGTTACAGCAGTGCTGCTGGCTGGGGGTGCCCTTGCTGGTATCCTTTACTCGTACTCAAAGCTAGTTTCCTCCATATGTGGAATCCCTTCAGCTCAGGGGAAGTATAAAGCATTTTCTACCTGTGTGTCTCACCTCTCAGTTGTCTCCTTATATTATTTTTCAAGCCTAGGAGTGTACCTTCTCCCTGCTCCTACCCACAGTTCACGCTCAAGTGCTGCAGCCTCAGTGATGTACACTGTGGTCACGCCCATGCTGAACCCCTTCGTCTACAGTCTGAGGAACAAAGACATACAGCGGGCTCTGAAAAGAGTCGTTCAGATGGTATGTATCAAAAAGAAAATTGTTCTAGGGCTGAAGAAGTGCCCATGATTGCAGAACTTAAAGCCTCAGAAGCAGAAATTACTATTCTTTGATCAGATTCTGGGTATTAAACATGTTCTTTCACTTTATTTCCTGGAATTTCAATTTCTTTGATTTCCAATCTTTATATCATTTACGTAATTCACTTTGGGAAGCTTTCTGCTGTATTTGATGTATAGGCAGGTCTCCCCTTTGTCCATTTTCCTACTTTCACAAAGTTTTTCCCAACCTTAAGTCATAAATATTTGGAAATTCTCATTTTTTTCTTGGGGGAACTTGGGTTACCCAAGAATAATTTCTTCGCAAATTATGTAACAATGCAAGTAATTTTCCTCTAGTTTTCCTGAGAGATTAGTCATGAGTTGTATTACTCATTAAAAAACAGCATACATGACAACCAAGGCTGTTTATGTAATTCATTTCAGCAAAATATGAAATCATATTTTTCATGTTGGGCCCATCGTTCTTTTCTATTTCTCTTCCTTAACTGCTCTTACAGATAACATGGTCTTTAATATGTTACTGTGTTTTGTAGCTGGTCTCCTGGCTTTTGTCTTATTCAGCTCAGTGTCCGCAATGACTATGATAGTCACTGGCAAAAAGTTAATATCAAATATATATCTCCCAGTGGAGTCTACAGGGAAAGACAAATTTACATATGCAGTTTGACCTATTATGGTCTCAGAGTCAGAGATGACCTTAAAAAGGGGGAAACTAAGGGGCCAGCCCGGTGGCACAGCAGTTAAGTTCGCACATTCTGCTTTGGTGGCCCAGGATTCACCGGTTCGAATCCCAGGTGCAGACATGGTGGCATTTGGCAAGCTATGCCGTGGCAGGCGTCCCACATATATAGTGGAGGAAGATGGGCAAGGATGTTAGCTCAGGGCCAGTCTTCCTCAGCAAAAAGAGGAGGATTGGCAGCAGACATTAGCTCAGAGCTAATCTTCCTCGAAAAAAAAAAAAATGAGGAAGCTAGATCTTAAATAGCAAATTTTGTTACTATGCAAAATATTTATTTTTCATGCTGTACATAGACTCTCTGAAGCGTGGAAGACTGCTGTCCACCAGTGGGGGGGTTCATGTTCTGTTAATTACCTTCCTGATTTTGCTTGAAAACTTCTAGTGCTGCCTACAAATAGGACTCTTTCTATTGCTCTGTGAAATATCTCCCCATTTCTAAGTTTATTCATAACCACTAAAGGGGCAGTGAATGAGCAGTACCAAGGTCATTCATTATATATCTGCTTCATGCTCGGGAATCTCTTCAGTATTCATCACAAAGGATGACTCACAAAAAAGCTTGGATTTCCACCCTGTGATGTGACTCAGGGTGAGAAGTTTTCTTGTGCACAAACACGCAAATCCTTCCAACTTCTCCAAATTCTGCAGAATAGAGCCTCAGTATAGCTGCTTGCTAATACTGTTATCTTAAATAAACTTGAATAAGAAAATAATCATGAATGCTATTTTCAGTATCAGAATGTGTGCCAAAAATAAAAAGCAGCAGATTATTACAAATGCCCCTATTACTGTTTGCTTTGATTATTCTATCAGTTAGCTTTTTCTGCATAACAAGCCATCCTAAATCAAATGTTTCAAAATAATGCTTTTGTTATTGAATAGGATTACATGATGGGGAGTTATTTTGAACTCTGCTCAGATACTCACGAGGCTGTAGTCAGCTGTGAGTCCCTATGTTGTGTGTCTGTAGTTCATCCAAGATGTTGAGTGAGACTGTAGTGCAACTCTGTCTTGAACCAATTTATGTCAGTTTATTTATTTATGTAGGTTAATCATATGGTTTACCAAAAAAACAATTTATCAAATAGGAATGGTCTTAATTCCACTGATTTTATATTCTATATACAACATGCTTCTACCCAGTGAGAAGACGTATCTCCCACCCCTGTTACGCTGAGACTCAGCTCCCTGTGGTCTAGATCTTACCTTGAGATTTGAATCACCTGATATTTTTTCCTTTAAACTAGTTTATTGGAGTATGACGACATGCAATAAACTTCACATATTAAAATGGAAAATTTGTGTATACCTTAAATTTACACAATGTTATAAGCCAATAGGACCTCATTAAAAGAATGTGAAAAATAAATAAACAAGAAATAAAAACCTGTAAGCTTCTTATGGTATGGCTGTGTCTTGAATTGCCCTGGAATAGGGGTTGTTTTACTCACTATAGATTCTGAATAAATACAGTCAAGCAAATTTTACCTACAAGATCAATACTAAATAAGAATTAATCTATCCAATTAAGCTTTTACCAATGCCAAAAAATATAAAACCTAAAATTTGCTGAATTAAAGGAGCCATGAAAAATTTAAGGATAAATACTGCATGAGGCCATTTACATATAATTCAAGAAAGCACAAAAATCTTTCATTGCTTTGTTATGTAATCAAAAAATTTGAATCTCCCTGAGCCTCCTTTTCCTTATTTCTGATGGTAATGTGGGATCAGAAAACTAATCCAGATGGATGTTGTGAGGAATAAATGAAACGTGTGCAAAGACTTGTTGAGTTCAAAAACTCTTCCACAGTTGAGTTGTGTGTGTATGTATATGTATGTGTCTGTATTTATATGTGATTTTCTTTCAAATAAATACACTCATGCACATATATGTAAACAGACAGTAATAATTTCACCTTTCATTTTGGAACGAAACTTGAGAGAAAGTTGGAGAGGATAGAAAAAAAAGAATGAACATTTGAATTAACAAAAATTTGAAAGAATGTAGGAATTTTGACAAATATTTAGAGTGGAATGGGTGATCTTCATTTTAATAATGAATTACTTTTTCTATCTTAATGCCTCAAAAACATCAAAGGAGGAAAGACATTTATGTTCAGGTGATGGGAAATTCACTGTACCAGCTAATGGAACCATAATCTCCAAATTGACTTATTCTTTTTAAAAATTGACTTTTTCTTTTTCTATTTAAGGATTTAAGGTGGAATTTCAAAACAAAATCTCCAAGGAAAACTAACTGAATGAATTTAGAGGCTAAGACTCAGTTCCCTTGAATAGAATTTTATTAGAAATGTCTGTATTAGATCCCAATTGCTGTGTAACAAATTACACTAGTGGCTTCAAACAAACAGCTTTCTATCTTAAAGCTCTAGAAGTCAAGGTGTCTGCAGGGCTGGGCCCCTTCTAGAAGCTGCAGGGGAGGATGCATTTCCTTTCCTGTTTCAGTTTCTAGAGGACACCTGTGTTCATTGGCTCAGGGCCCTTCCTCCATCTTCATAGCCAGCAGTGTGCCTTTTCAAATATCCTTCTGATTCCAATTCTTCATCTTTTCCCTTCCACACTTAGAGGATCATAGGGATCACCTCAGGCTAACCTTGATAATCCAACCTAAACTGATCTTAAGGTAAATGATGATTAAATTTATTCCATCTACTGTATTATTGCCCTTGCTCACTGAGCTAACATTTTCAAAAGTTCTTGGGATTAGGATGTGGAAATCCTTTGAAGACCTTTATTATCCCTAGTGTAAAGTCTTATTCAGCTGTATATAATTTGAATTCACTCAAGAGCCATTATATTTTTAAAAAATTGAAGACAGGATTTACTACAGCCTCTAGTTAGAGTGAAAATTTTTCTTTCAAAGTTATATGTAGAGATGTTTCTTGGCAACTGAGACCTGGAAATACCTGCACTTGACTCTAACACAGGAACACAGACTTGGTACCTAAGGTGTGGTCCACAGACCAGAACCTGCAGCATCAGCGTCACTTGGGAGGATGTTAGAAATACAGAATCCTTGAGCCCACTGTAGACCTGGTTAAACAGAATTTCCATTTGAACTACAAACCTTGGTAATCTGTTATGCACAATGAAGCTGAGGGAGTGTTGGTCTAAAATAGGTTTTTTAACCTCCTCACTGTTGACATTTGGGGTTGGGTGATTATTTGTGCTGGATGCGGTCCTGTGGATTATAGGCATTTAGTAGCGTCCATTCAGACATTTCCAAATATTTTCAGGAGAGAAATTATTTCTGGTTGAGAACCCCTGCCCCAGGGTTTGAGACCTAAAAGCAGCCTGACAGAATTCCAATTCAGACTCCATCCCTTACTTGGTTTATGTCTTTGAGGAGACTATTGAATCCCTCTGAGTCATATTTCTACAATGGAGAATGCAGTTCATAAAAGTAACACCTCGTAGATTAAAGTTTTCTAAAAATTAAAGCAGACCATACATTTAATGTGCTAAGCTAGACTACGGTGCATAAAATCTCAATGTATCTCTTATAATTAATAACCATTTTAGAATGAAGAACTAATGACATTTGTGAATTTGAGGCGTAAGTATGAAATTCATTATTATTTTGGCAAAATTGTCATGAAGTCAAGTAGTTTAGTGCCCAAGTTTTTAATTAAAAAAAACAAAGTTATCCTCTTTCATAATAGCTAAAACATGGAGGCAACCCAAATATCTGTCCAGGCATGAATGTATAAACAAACTGTGGAATATACAATCAATGGCATATTATTCATCCTTAAAAAGGAAGGAAGGGGCTGGCCCCGTGGCCGAGTGGTTAAGTTCGCGCGCTCCGCTGCAGGCGGCCCAGTGTTTCGTTGGTTCGAATCCTGGGCGCGGACATGGCATTGCTCATCAGACCACGCTGAGGCAGCGTCCCACATGCCACAACTAGAAGGACCCACAACAAGAAATATACAACTATGTACTGGGGGGCTTTGGGGAGAAAAAGGAAAAAAAAAAAATCTTAAAAAAAAAAAAAAAAGGAAGGAAATACTGACATATTCTACAACATGAATGAACCTTCAGGATATTACACTAAGTGAAATAAGCCAGCCACAAAAGTATAAACCTTGTGTAATTCCACTTATAGGAGGTACCCTGAAGCATCAAATTCAGGGAGACAGAAAGTAGAACGATGTCTGTTAGGGGCTGGGAGGAGGGGGTAAGGGGAATTTATTGAATGGTGCATAGAGTTTTAGTTTTGCTAGACAAAAAGTGTTCTGAAGATG